TAATAACAGGAAATGACCAAATTGACAAAGGCATTCCTAAAACAAGCAACTTCAAGAAGAAGAAGACATAGATTCAAGCTAAGGAAACAAAAATGATTTTGAAATGAATGTCAGGCTAAAAAAATATTAGTTATTTTTTTTTTTAAACAGTATAGATGACACACAGAAATCACAATTGCATGATGCATCAAATGAACAAATCCACAAGGGCCATGACGAGGATTCGAACCTGCGTCCGAGAGCATCGCAGACGCTGCCTTAGACAATATATATATATATTTTGTCAGTCTACACAGACTGTCAGGCTAGACAAACTGCCAAGTCTACCAAGTCAGTCTAGACAACGGTCAGTCTTGAGATGATTTCGGAGCTTAGCGTCCCCGCGGCCCGGTCCTAGACCAGGCCTCCATTTTGTTACACATCTCCAGGAAGCAGCCTGTAGTAGCTGTCTAACTCACAGGCGCATCAGGGTGAAAGAAACTCTGCCCATTTGTTTCCAACTCCACTGGGGATGAAACCCGGAACCTCAGGACTACGAATCCGAAGAGCTGTCCACTCAGCTGTCAGGCCCTTGGTTATCAGTCTGGACAGTCAGTATAGACACAGTCTTGACTGACTGTCAGTATAGACTTTGTCAGTCTCGACAGACTGTCAGTATAGACATTGTCAGTATAGACATTGTCAGTATAGACTGTCAGTATAGACTGTCAGTATAGACATTGCCAGTCTCGACATTGCCAGTCTCGACATTGTTAATCTCGACAGACTGTCAGTATAGACATTGTCAGTCTAAACAGTGTCAGGCTAGACATACTGCCAGGCCTGACAGGCTGTCAGGCTAGACAAACTAGGTCTAGACAGTCTAAGCAAACTGGGTCTAGACAGAGGCTAGACCGATTGTCACAGACTGCCAGACTAGACAAAGAGCACTGGAAAGCCAAACATGGGCATATGTCCAACAAACGGCTACTAAAGTTCAACCCAAGTAAATGTAAGGTAATGAAACTAGGCAGTGGAAACAGGAGGCAAGACACAGGATACCGAATGAGAGATGAAGTCCTTCAGGGAGCCGGTCGGCCGAGCGGACAGCACACTGGACTTGTGATCCTGGGGTCCTGGGTTCGATCCCAGGCGCCGGCGAGAAACAATGGGCAGAGTTTCTTTCAACCTATGCCCCTGTTACCTAGCAGTAAAAGAGGTACCTGGGTGTTAGTCAGCTGTCACGGGCTGCTTCCTGGGGTGGAGGCCTGGTCGCGGACCGGGCCGCGGGGACACTAAAAAGCCCCGAAATCATCTCAAGATAACTTCATGAAACGGACAGAGAAAGATCTAGAAACTGATATCACATCAAACCTGTCTCCTGAAATCCACATCAAAAGAATAACATCAGCACTGTATGCAAGGCTGGCTACCATCATGACTGCCTTCAGGAACCTGTGTAAGGAATCCTTCAGAACCTTGTATACCACATATGTAAGATGAATCCTGGAACATGCAGCCCCTCCATGGAGCCTGTACCTTGTCTAGCACAAGATGAAGTTTGAAAAAGTTCCTAGGTATGCCACAAGGCTAATCCCAGAACTAAGTGGCATGAGTTACGAGGAAAGGCTGCGTGAAATGCACCTCACATCGCTGGAAGACAGGAGAGCTCGGAGAGACATGATCACTACCTACAAAACTCTCAGGAATTGACAGGGTAGATAAAGATAAACTGTTTAATGTGGATAGTACACGAACAAGGGGACACCAGTGGAAACTGAGTATCCAAATGAGCCACAGGGACGTTAGAAAGAACTTTTTCAGTGTCAGAGTAGTTAACTGATGAAATGCATTAGGCAGTGATGTGGTGAAGGCTGACTCCACACACAGTTTCAAATGTAGATATGAACTTTTAGGCCAGTAGGTCTAAAAGTAGAACAAAGTAGGCCCATTTAGCCCAGTAGATTCAGTAATCCAGCAGATTCAGTCTCCATGTTCAACCCCCCCCCCCCCCCCAGCTCACCCTACTGGCCATAGGATGTCATACAGTCTTAAATTGAGTCAAACCCCATTTGATTTTCTTGTAAATATTTAAATGAATACATAATCAACCAGATACAGCACAGATATTATGTTTTGTTATTTACAATTAGTAACTAGCCTGCTCCAGGGCAAAAATTAAAAATAAACGATTAAGCAACTAACACCCACACCTGCTCTAAACATCCACACACACTCCAGATACCATCAACCACTACTGACATCCACACCCATTCCACTCGCAATTTATTTTTATTTATTTATTTATACAGGATATGCAAGAGTGCTTACATCCTTGTACAGCAACTTGCATGCAGTGTTTCGGAAAGTCCTTGATCCTAATTTTCCCTGGAATACGACCCCCAAATCATTTAACAACCACATACCCATTTACTGCTAGGTGAACAAATGCAAGTTTAGGATTGGCGCCAAGTAAATCCTCCCCGGCCAAGATACGAACCCAGACCAAAGTGCTTGCGAACCGTCAGGCGAATGTGTAACCACTTTGCCATGGGGACTGCCTGAGGAATAGTGCCTTCCAACTAGTGTAATGACTGTGACAAGGTACAGTCATTACACTAATGATGCCCAAACCCACTCCATACACCCACACTACTGACATCCACATCCACTCCTGACACTTATGTCATACTTTCCTCACTGCCTCTATCCCTCCCTCACTTCCTTTTCCCCCCTCACTGCTCCTATCTCTCCATCAGTGCCTCCATCCCTGTTTCTATTTTCACAGCACTAACAAAACCTCCACCTCACTCCCGCTATCCATCCCTCACCCAGGTTGGTATTAACCCTTGTGTTGCTAAGGGCTATTTGGCCTTTGTCACCCACAGGTGCATAAAAATTTGTTTTAAAATGTTTCTCCTTAACCTTTCGTGTTCCCTGATCACGGGAAAAATAATAAACAAATCGTAAGTAGCATACTTTGGCCGCAATGGGTCGTGGAAGTCTGGCAAAAAAGAGGCGCAGACTCAGCAAGTGTCGAGGCAGTTCTGCTGCCGAAGCTGTCAGGTGGGGGATGAGGGGGGGTGGGGTGCCACAGATATAATTACCTAATAACTTCAATGTCTCTGATTGATTTTGTCTACGTTTTTTTGCTGTAATACTATTCAATATTGTGTAGTGTGATATATTTACTTAATAAAATATGTGAATCATCACTGTACTCAAAATTATGGTGTGCATATTATTGATTCAATTATGATGTTCATAAAACAGTGAACAAATACTTTGTTGGTTATTACACTATATTCCTCCTCCCACCATACTGTTTTTGCTATTATTCGCTATATACAGACATTATATATAAGTATCTACATGTTCTGTTCACCATAACCATTCATCTAAGCTGGTAAAGTGCAGAAAGAGCATAGTGGCCACCCTTATACAGCATGACAAGTCAGAAAGATGATGCCACCTCCTTCACCAAAATGGTTTCTCCCAACACTCCTTTTGCTGGTATCACACTATATATAACCGTTATATATAAGTATCTACATTTGTGTTCCCCATAGCGAACCACTAATCTTGTATGGTGACAGCAGACAGTAACAGGTGGCAACCCACACCTCATGCTCTTTCCCTCCCTCCCATCCTCACTGGTTCAAGGTCAGATGCACTAACATTCCTCCTTCAAGTATACTGTTTGTGGTGTTATTACCCTATATACACACATTATATATAAGTATCTACATGTTTTGTTCACCATAACTGTTCAACTAAGCCAGTATAGTGCCCAAAGAGCATAGTAGCCACCTTACCCAGCATGACAAGTCATGCAGATGTCGCCACCTTCCTCACCAAAATGGCTTCTCTCAACTCTCCGTTTGCTGTCATTACACTATATATACACGTTATATGTACAGTATCTACATTTGTGTTCACCATAAGGAACCATTAAGTTGATATGCCGAGTCAAACAGCAGCAAGAAGTGACCACCACACACCAGCTACCCCGCTACTGGCTGCAACTCCCTCCTCACCTCACCTGACTCGCCAACATTCTCTTCCCACCATACTGTTTTTTTTGCTTTTATTCACTATATACAGACGTTATATGTAAGTATCTGCATGGTTTTGTTCACCGTAGCTAACGACTAAGCTGGTATAGTGAGTCCAGACAGTAAAAGGTGGTCACACAGAGTCAGCAGATAACGCTACCTCTCTCCCCACCAAGATTACTCCTACTACAGCGCTAATTATCACAACAATCCTGCTATTATCAGAATCCTGGACATTTTTATCACAGTCTTCAAGGGGTCTTCTGTAATACTATTATCGCTAAATAATAACATGTACATATATATTTTGACATTTTTGGGCGATGCTGTGGTCCCATGAACAGCAGTGCTATGAGCTCATGCTGTGTGCATCAGCCATGGTGGCTCACTCAGTACCGAGGCCCTAACACCCAGGAATGTTGCCCACAATTAAAAAAAAAAAATGACGTCTGTTTACAAGAGCCCTGATGAAGGTGAGGCCCTGTGTATCCGCGGGCCGTTTAAATCTTTTCAACACTCCCGCTACACATAAGGGGTACAACAGGCCAGCCTCTCACAGTGTTCAAGAGAGAACTTGACAAACACCTACAAAGAATACCTGATCAACCAGGTTGTGATTCATACATCAGACTGCGAGTAGCTGCTTCCAACTGGCTAAATGACCGGACGACCAACCGGCCATTGATCCCAAAAACCTCCACAAGACAGCCACAAAGTTATTCCCGTGTGGCTCTTCACCAAATTTCAACTGAAAAAATGCAACTTCTCCAGGCATTAACACTACAACTAAACCAAAAAGAGGTCGAGATAGTTTACTTGAATTTTTGCGCTTCTTAGATGCTAATTAACAATGTAAAACGAAAAAATGTTCAAGAATTTTTGTGAGTTCACCAAGGGTTAGTCAGCTATTTATTAACAGGTGATAGCCCTCGGGTTAATTAAAGCAAATTTAAGTACAGTACTCACCCTTTAACACGCTGAACCTCGGTTTCACCTCGAATCCCTCCTCGAGGATTTAGCAAAATACTGAGGCATTTTAACAGTTGCAAAGGGTCAATCTTGGGCTAGAATGAGAGAAAAATGCATTATTAGAGAGGAAACTTTTATCACCAACAAAAACTGCTTAAATTGCATTGATATGGTTGAGAAATTAATTCCTTAAATCTACAAAGTAGGATGACAAAAACAAAGTTAATCCCAGTTGCCATCCATAATTTGACAGTAAACATTCTGATGACAAGTGTTCATTAGGAAAGTCATGGATATTCCTAATGAAACAGCAAGCTAAGATCTTCTATTTTACGGCAGTGCATCTGAAACCTGACCCAAAACTAAATTATTTGAGGAGCTTGTTATTTGTTTCAATTAAAAATGAATTTTGTTTAGTGCTAGGTTACGAAGTTATAATCATATTAGTAACAGGATGAAACTTAATCTAACTATATACCAAAGCCTTCACATATGGCAGGTTGACTGGTTTTCACGTACATATATTTCAGCATCATTGGACTTTTCAACCTGACCATCTCAGATTATCATGAAATTTGGTGGGATGCTAGAAGCCATGAAGTAACTTTCATATGCAAAATTTTAGTGCTCAGTAATGCACAATATTCATACAGCAGGGCTGCCAATATGAAGAAAGTACCCGGTACTAAATTTTTACTTACAAGCACAAACAAAACAAAAAAATCATATCGGTTTCTAATTGAGGTAAAATCTTCATATTGTTCTTGCTTTGAAGCTAAGGAAGCATTGTTTTCATTAAAACACTTTTATATTAAATATTGAATTTTAAATTTCAAGATCCCATGACATGAGCTTTGACCTTGAACATAGAAAAAGGTGTATAAATTTTTTTATGTTTTTGTTTGAAAAAAAAAAAAAAATTATGAATCATATGTTATACAGTTAAATGACTTTTCTCTCTCTAATATAAGTTTCAATTTGGAATGGCTTTGAGAACAGAAGTAATAAAAAACTACTCATATGATGGGGATGGTTAATTGTGAGAGGGTCAGAGAGGAAAAGACAAGAAAATGGGTTCAATATCAAAAGAGGCCTAACCCGCAAACATTTCAGCATTACAAACAAGCAAGAAACAATTACACAAAAATGAGAAGAGAGGCAGAAAGGAACTTTGAGAAAGGTATAGGGGACAAATATAAAACAGATCTAGGCCTTTTATATAAATAATTAAAAGCAAGCATGTAAAAGATAAAATCCAGAGATTGATAACGGGGAACAGGTACATTCATTCGACTGGCGGTCTGCTCCACCTGCACTGACAGGTTGGATTTGCCACAAAGATATTATTACCTAATTATTTCAATGTCAGATTTTTTTTGCAGTAATATTATTCAGTAGTATTATATAATAAAATGTGTGAACCAACTGTACAACTAAGCTGGTATGGTGAGTCAAGACAATAATTGAGGTCGCCACACAGTCAGGTGACACTCATTCCCCCTCACTTGCCAACATTCCTCCTCCCACTATACTGTTTGTGTTGTTTTTACACTATACACACACACATCATATATAAGTATCTACATGTTTTATTTACCGTAACTGTACAACTAAGCTGGTATGGTGTCCAAACAACATAGTACCACAAAAAACTGCTGACAAGTCCAGACGACACCACCGCCCTCACCAAAATGGCTCCTCCCAACATACTCCTTTTGCTGTTATTACACACGTTATATATACTGTAGGTATCTACATTTCACCATAACGAACCGCTAAGCTGGTATGGTGAGTCCAGACAATAATAGATGGTCACACGAGTCAGCAGACGATGCTACCTCCCTCCTTCCCTCAGCATTACTCCTCCCACCATACTACACACAGTGGTAATTATCACCATAATCCTGCTATTATCAGAATCCTGGTCATTTTTATCAGTCGGGGGTCTTCTGTAATACTATCATCGCTAAATAGCACCAGTTAAATATATATTTTGACATTTTTAGGCGATGCTGTGGTCACAAGACAAACAGCAGTGCTGTTAGTTCATGCTGTGTGCACCAGCCTTGGTTGCTCACTCACTACTGAGGCTTTCACACCCCGAGAATGTTGCCCACTTTTTTTTTTTTAAATGGCGTCCGTTTACTAGAGCCCTGATGAAGCTGATGTGAACCCCGTGTAGCAACGAGACATTTAAATCGTGCGCGGGACCCTCATTCGAGTATGTATGATGTGCTCCATTCCGTGAAAGTTACTCCCATCACCTATGTAAGTATTGCACAACATAAGGGTTGATATTCCAGACATCCTTGTGCACAGGAATCTTAACAGATACAGTATATGGAAAAAGGCAAACTATGCCAATTTATAAAAATGATAGTCGAGAGGAACCTCTAAATTATACCCAAGTCATTAACAGGTGTGGTAGTCAACACTAAAAAAAAAAAAAAATTAAAGCCAAATGGGTTGAACACCTAGAGAGTAGTGATAATAATTATATGAACATGTTTGCGGATGATGCTAAGATACTGGGGAGGAAGATAGGAGACAGACGATTGTAATGCCCTTCAAGTTGATATTGATAAAATAAGTGCTTGAAGCATCAAGTGGCAAATGAAATTCAATGTGAATAAATGCCATATTATGGAATGTGGAATCGGAAAAAATAGACCACACACAACTTACAAATTATGTGGAAAGGAATTACAGAAATCCAATAAAGAACGAGACCTAGGGGTGGTTTTGGAAAGTAAGCTTTCGCCATAGGAAAACATTGTGAGAGGAAGCAGGTATCAAGCAGACTGTATGCATCGGTCAGACTTCCTTTTAAATATATGGATGGTGAAATACTAAAGAAACTGTTCATGACTTTTGTGAGACCAAAACTGGAATATGCAGCAGTTGTATGATGCCCAAATCTCAAGTAGCACATAAATAGATTGGAAAAGATGTAACGGCATGTTATAAAATGGCTTCCGGAACTGAAAAACAAGAGTTACAAGGAGAGACTAGAGGCGTTAAACATGCCAAAACTAGAAGATACGTAGAAGAAAGAGAGGTGATATGATTACCACTTACAAAATACTAACAGGAATAAAACAAATTGACAGAGGAAACAAGCAACTTCACGAACAAGAGGACACAGATTCACGCCAAGAAAACAGAGGTGCTGAAAAAATATTTGAAAATTTTCTTTTGCAGAGTGGTAGACGGTTGGAACAAACTAAGTGAGAAGATAGTGGAGGCCAAAACCGTCAGTTTCAAAGCGTTATACGACAAAGAGTACTGGGAAGACAGCACAACACAAGCGTAGCTCTCATCCTGAAACTACACTTAGGTAATTACATGCAAATTTTGAAATGCTTTTATTTATTTTATTATTTATTTATACAGTGAATATACGAGAGTTCTTACATTCTTGTACAGCCACTAGCACGCATAGCATTTTGGGCAAATCCTTAATCCTAATTTTACACGTACACACATCATCCCCAGGAAGCAGCACATAGCAGCTGTCTAACTCCCAGGTACCTATTTACTGCTAGGTGAACAGGAGCATCAGGGTGAAAGAAACTGCCCATTTATTTCCTCTTCCACTGGGGATTGAACCCAGACCCTCAGGACTACAAACACTGAGCACTGTCCACTCAGTCGTCAGGTCCCCCAAATACCAATCAAATCAAATACTAGATCAAATACCAATCTTCACATCAGGATGTGACCCTCTGAAGTGAACATACACTACAGCAAGACTATTTAAGACTAGCCCCACCTGTATGTGCTCTTTTTGCACCATCTCTTCTAATTGTCACAAAGCCCTTTTTGCCAGGAATAATTCTGGTATCAATACAGTAAAAGTGCTTCACAGTCTCAGCAATATTTTTCACATTTTACCCAAATTGACCAACAGTTTGAAAAAGAGAATGGATATCTAAATTATTATGCTTGAGCTAGGCTAAGCTAGCTCAAGCATAATGAACTAGGCTGCGACGATGTCAGGCTGTGAGCAGCTGCATCAGACAGCCTGGTTGATCACACCAGCAACCAGGAGGCCTGGTCAGAGACAGGACCACAGATCCCTGAAATTGTCTACAGGTAGTAAATAGTAAATTTTACTGATTGCTTTTTACTCTCTTTGCCTCTCCTGGGCAAAGACGACAAGATTCTTGTTGCTTTACTTCAATTGTTTCTACAGTATTTCTCTATTACATTCTTGAGACAAGGTGAAGGCAGTGTGACCTGGGACAAGGTGAAGGCAGACAGTGACCTGGGACAAGGTCAAGGCAGACAGTGACTCGAGACAAGGTGTGGCTAAGCAAGTAGTGAGGTAGCCACCAACCCAACCACCTAAGGTTTTACTGTATGGAGAAAATCATTCTTCAAATTGAAGACCACAACATTAAGCCCACTACAAAGGCTATCACGAACACTGTGATACCAACACCAACAATATCTGTATAACCAAGTTGAAATAAACAACTATGGCCACAGCCGTGTCTTGTACAAAATGCAACGAAAATGTAGTCTACACAAAATATATAAATTGTCAATTGTGATCTGCAGTCACACACTAATTGTGTCAAACTTCCAGTTACTTACAAGGAAAAGAGGAATGGCTAATAATGTAACTCAATACTGTATTCTGAATTTTTTATGAGGATAATTGCTTCTTTTTGAAGCAAATGTTCTGAAAAATATTTTTAATAAGAGAATAGAAATTCCCTCATTACTGCATGCTCAGAAATTGCAGAGAAATGCATATGAAAGGAACAAGTTACCCAGGTATGTGGAGATACAGATGGACTATATAGCAAAAATAGTGTTAGAGGGTACTAATGAACAAAGTGCAAGCACAGATCCAGATGGGCAGACCCAACACAAAAGGTAGTGAGTTAGAACAAAAATCTGCAGGATCCCCTCCCAAATCTATCAGTAGTCACCCAGAGTGTAGTGTAAATAAACCATGATAATCAAACAAAGCATGAATGTGGAACTTGCTGATATGATGCATGGGGTGTGTGTGTAAATATGGGCTATCAAGAACAACTAGTGGTACATGCAAATATAACCACCCAAAAACTACAGAAATATTCTA